TCAGCTCAGGGTGCGTAACGTTGGCCTTCTTGTAACGCAGACCCATAGGCCTGATGAAGCGCTCGTACTTCACGGGGCGACGGGTGAATCCTGGTCCGACGAATGTGGGCTTCGTGATCATGCGTTTCCAGCTCTTCTTCTTGGTCTTCTTTCCTGTCTTAACGACTGAGAACATCTCTTCCTCAGAAATACCCTTGACCTTCGGTAGGGGGACAGAGAAGCGTGCTGCCTTCTCGTTACGCTTCTGTTTGATTGCTGAGGAAAGGGCCTTTGCGTTCTTTTCGTTGCTGCGGTCTAGGAGATATGCGGGGAGGGCGTCGGTGGCTGGTTCCGGTGCCTCGTTGGATTTGACGTCTAAGAGATCGGGTTAGCGTATGCTTCATGCCAGTGTGTACAGGAACACTTACTCCTCTCCTCGTGTGCGCGGATCTTCTGCTTCATCTGAATCTTCTCCTTGCGACGCTTCTCAGCGTATAGCTTGGCCCTCAGACCACGGAAGTTTTGCGCCTTCTTCGAGGCATTGTGCCCTTCACGGGCAATCTTCTTCCGTTGTCGCTCGTCATGATCGAAGCGCTTTCCGTGCCTGGTGTGAGAGAGTTAGTTATGTGTTCTTGGTGTTGAGGTGTGAAGCGCAAAGCGCAAATCGCGACGCAGGATTGGTGCCGAGGAAGGCGATGCGAGGTGCGAGATGCGAGATGCGAGATGCAGGATCGGTGTCGACGTACTGCTTCGTAAAGCGCTCGATATACTCGTTCTGAGGCATAGCGACTCCCTCTGTATGTTGTAAGGGTGGTGGTAGTGAAGTGGAGTCTCTTCCACCAGCCGCCTTGCCTCCAAAAAGTTCGGCACTAGCCCCCACTAGCGCGATGCGGGATTCTTCAACATCGGACTCCCGCAACACCAAAGATGCGTTCTTCGGCAGCCACCCCAGCCATTGCATTTCACAAACCTCAGTAATGGCCCTATTCGCCCGCTCCGCACGCCATGCGCTCTTCGAATCGAGAGCGATACTACAACCGACGATCCGCCGCGCAGGCATAACAACCGTATCGCACAACCTCGACACATCGAATACGCCCGAGCCGCTCATCCAATCCGGCCACCGCATATCAGACGAAGCCAAAGAGCGCGCTCAAACACCACAGCCTCTCCCTAAAGACGCCCCAGCCCCCGCTTCCACAAACGACATCAAAGCCTCACCAAACGCCCGCTCAGACATCCTCTCGCAGACCCTCACACCCTCCATCCGCAAGCTCCTCCCCCTCCTACAATCGCAGCCCGCACATTACATAACCGCACATCTACATGGCCGCCCATATCTTCTCACTCGCGGAGATACGCTTCGCCTCCCCTTCCAAATGCCACATGTACGACCAGGCGATGTTCTGCGTCTGAACCGCGCTACACACATTGGATCGCGCGACTACACGTTGAAAGCCCCAGAGCCCGTCAAGGGCAACGCAGATCGTGGAAAGAAGGTGTTTTATTTGGACGAGCGGTTATTCACATGCAGAGCGCGGGTTGTGGGTGTGGAGACTGAGCCGTTGAGGGTGGAGGAGAAGACTAAGAGGAGACGGAGACATGTCAAGCATGTTACGAGCAAACAGTACTTCACAGTCTTGAAGATCAGTGATTTGGAGGTTAAGAGTCTGGAGGAGTATGAGGCTGTGTTGGGGCAAGCGGGTAAGGAGAGTGTACAATAGTGGTGGCGTCGAGAGGCGGGATGCGTCGTTGAATGTATCATATGTACCGACAACACGAGCATGTCAGCCTCGGGGCTGTTACGTGAATGCGATATCTCAGGAATGGGAGTACGATATCATGCTCGTATTCATGTCTAAGTGTACATTGGGTATATGCGATCCCGGACGCCGTTTATGCTTTGCCTACTCATCATCGCTGCTGGTAAGATCGATCCGACACTAGTGCACCACCTGCGCTGCATAGAAGTCGGGATATTGGTTCTGGATCATCGAGGTGACCTTCTCCACCTCCTCTGCCAGGCCTGTGACGTTGGCATCCCACTTCCGTAGCTCCTTGCCAACAACGCGCTCTGCGTGTCCTGTCTTGCGCTCGCCACTGGCCTCGCCCTCAAAGAAAACATATCGGTCAATCTGGTCGATGTAACCGGCAAGTCGGCCTTGCTCCAACATCTTTGCCGCGTAGTCCTCGGCCTTCTCAGCGTCGATGCCCAGTAGTTCACCCAGCTGATCAAATCCGATGTTGTTGTATAGCTTCGATGCGCCGAGCAAGTTGTGTTCCAGGATAGCCTTGTCGAGCACAGTCAAGCCATCAGCGGCCCGGGCGAGATGGTGAGGCTCGAGCTTGGCGGAGAAGGCGTTGATCTCGGCAGGTGTGAGGAGACGGTTCAGGAAGATCTTCTCGAGGATGGCGTAGTCGTCGGCGGAACTGGCTCGGTCGTCTTTGTACAGCTTCGCCAACATCTTACCTCGTTGCGGACCAGCAGGAGCGAGGACTGCACAGATGATTGCTTTCCCAAGGAAGTTGTCGCGCTCTTCAGCGTCCACAACTGGCTCGTTACTCAAAGTGTAGTATCCTTGGGCAGCATCAAGAAAGGACCGTTGCGAGTCGAGAATGCGGGCTTGACTCAATTGGAACATGACCTTGGTAGCCTTGTCTTGTACGTTGAAGATGATGTTCTTGATCTTGTTCAGATGTGTGAAGGCGCTTGTTGGATCGTCTTCCTCCAGGTAACACCGCACTATCCGGATCCAGACCTGCGCCTTGTCATCCGCGGAGACAGACTTTTGTGTTGACTCAAGGTTTATGGTCGCGAGCGTCTGCGCTGACCGTCTGAAGTCATCGTTCTGTTCGAACGCATCCGCCAGAGCATGCTTGATCTGAGTGTCCTGCTCCTCATACTGGCCCGCGCCCTTGGACTGTAATAGTGTGATGACCTTCTCTCCAACTTCAATCCTGGCGTCGGGTTCCTTGACCGTGCGGAACGCATCTACGAAAGCAGCGAGGAGTGGCCGCAGAACGACTATGCCGAGCGAGTCATCGAGGAGAGTTTGTGCGTATGCGTTCAGATCGGCGGCGACATTGGTGGATGATTCTATGATCTGCTGGAGGAGAGCAGTGTACTGAGAGGGCTTTTCGCTGGCCGGTGCCGCCTCAATCTGCTGTAAAGCCGAGGTGACAGCTTGTGAAGCCATTGTCGGAGGTTTGGATGAGCTGGATTGGTTGAGAAGACGTTTAGGGCTCGACCTGAGAAGATATGGGAGAATTAATGGTGAGGACAAGAGGATCACTCTGTAGCTACAAACGAGATTCAGTTGTGCCTGTTGGTTGTTGATAGGCAGCAGACGTGGGGCAAGCGCGACCTCTCCAGAGCTGCATTATCGATAAGGGCTTGGCACACTAGTGCGGAAGCGCGTCGGGGAAGAGCGCGCCCCAGTTCAGTCGATCTTTCATCATCTCTACCAACTCACCCCAGGCAACGACACACATACACTCGCTACCATGAACGGCATCAAGACAGAAGCCGGAATCAAGGCGGAAGGCGACATAGGCTTCATGGACGATGACTTCTACGAGGACACCGGCGAGATGAGCATCAATAAGGACAATCCTCAACAGGATGTCTGGCTCACGCGTATCCCAGACTGGCTCTACGAGGCAGTGTCTAAATGGGATAACGTCGCCGACGGCAACGACAACGATCAGATACAGATCGGCGAAGTCCTCGCATTCGCGACGACGAGCGGCATCGACAAGGACAAGCCTATGCGCGTCTTCCTCGACGATCGTTGGCGCGCAAAGTCCAACTTACCCTCCGCCTTCCAACTCGATCCTGCAGCCGCTTCCGAAGCGCAACTGGGTAACACATACATCTTTACAGAGAAGGATCTGCCAGGGTTCAAGGGACAAGGCTTCGGCTATGGGAGAGGCCACGGAGGCTATGGTGGTGGTGTACAAGATCCGAATGCGCGCGTCCAAAAACGGAGCAAGTACAAGAAGGCGATCCCCAAACAGACTGCCCTCGTCGGCCACGCGACACGGCAGTACAACGCGAATCCTCTCGAAACCAAAGAGTTCAAGGACTTCAGCGCCGCGCGCATCAAGCAAGCCATTCAAGGCTCCTACACCACCACCATCATCACGAAAGACACCGAAGTCTCTGACGTCAACAACTCCATCACCCTCAACAACCGCTTCAAGAACTTCATCAAGCCCACGACCAAGGCCAAGTCACAGCAGAACAAGGCGGCTCGTATGGCTCGTTCCGACCTCATCGACGTACTGCACCAGCTGTTCGACGAATACCAGTACTGGCCGATGAAGGCTATCAAACAGCGCACAAAACAACCAGAGCAGTATCTCAAGGAGGTGCTTGGCGACATTGCGCTGCTTGTCAAGTCTGGGCCCTTTGCGAGCAACTGGAAGCGGCAGGCCGTCTTCGACAACCAACGCGATACTAGTAAGCAAGCAGAGGCAGCTGCGCCAGAGGGTCCGGGTGATGGCGACTCAGAGGGCGAGGACGAGATGGAGGATGTAGTCTAGAACAGTGTGGTGGGGGGGGGGGTGGTTGATCAAATTGTTGCGTTGGCGATACCCAGTCCGTGAAGGAACATACACGGCGCCATAGAAAGGAGCTTCATCATTTTCAGGTTTATTATACTGCATGCTCCCTCGAGAATGAACAGTATTAATGTGTTCCAGCATGTCAACGTACTACAGCGTATGCGATCAGAGTGTAGAGGTCCTATCAACTGATCGTCGTGGCAATGACGGCATCTTAGCGACTAACGTCCATGACTCGAGCGGACCTGGCCGACCCGCTCATCTCACAATCTAACGGTCATTCCGACTCCGCCTTCTAACTCTATCGCTTTTCAATCTGTACATATGTTATCCTTTTGATACACTCTCTTCATTGTCAATATACGCTCAGGCTTCCAATTGCTCGCACCCAAGAAGTGGCGAAAAAAACTTTGCATGACCTCCATCTTCCTGGAATTGCACGCCAAAAAGGTGTCATGACACCACAAAAGCAAGAGCAGAGCCACTGGTTGGACAAATACGCATCAAACTATGCCGAGTGGAAGCTGTCAGAAAATGCAGATTGCACCCAGCTGTTCAAGCGCCCTCTCGGGCTAGTGGAGACTTCTTTTGACTCCGATGGCGCGTATTATGGTGGCCGGGCAGGTATGTAGGATCTTCAGAATATCTTATATTCATTTCTTGATGGTCCAAAGAGAAGTCTACTCGTCATATCGAGCATGGTTGAAACGCAACTGACTGTGCAACAGACATGACGGCCCTTTTCACATTAGCAGTCCAACACAAGCTCTCGAAATCAGAGCTTAGGCGCAGGATAGCGCTTGCCTGGACTTCTCTTCGCCTTCAGCACCCTCTACTCTTGTCTCGAGTGATCGATGATCAAGAAACAGGAAGACGAGCCTTTGCCGTCGATGTACCCAATTCTCAAGATTCTGCCATTCAAGATGTGGAGAAGAATATCGTTTGGATCGAAGAAGCGTACGAGGAAGTCAACGAGAAAGACCTGTACCACCACGCCTACAACGTAACTCGCATCATTGCACCCACGAAGTGCCTATCAAAGTTCCATGTCTTACCTTTGCGACAACTTCCAGACGGAACATATGAGCTGCGCTTCCTCATCGTGATTGCGCATCAAATATCCGATGGTCTATCCGCGTACAGCTGGTTCAGCCATTTCGTTCGCATTTTCAATCAACCATCTCAGGACATCTTAGCAGAAATTGAGTCGGTTCGTCAACCTCAGAAGATCAAAACAGTCCTGCCAGCCGCCCAGGAAGACCTATACCCACCGATTGCAGGCAACAAAGCGAGACAGCGCTGGTTCTGGGCGCTGATCAGAGTGCTGAGACACGTGAAGAAAGGAGGACTACCACTCACCTTTACGAATCCGCTGCGAAGGGAAAAGAGGTTAGAGGAGCCAGTACCACTCGAACCCAAGTTCAACAAGATCTTCGACTATAGCCCTTCGACTCGCCCTCCAATGTCCTGTGGCCATGTATCCGCATCCCTTTCGCCCGCCGCCTCAGCACGTCTGATATCCCTATGCCGATCCGCAAACGTCAGTATAGGCGCTGGCTGTTTCGCTCTCGCCGGCCTAGCAATGATGGCCATCCACGAAAAGCGATCTCCATCAACCACCCACCCTCCATTCACAGCCTCCTTCCCGCTAAACCCCCGCGCCTTCTTCGTGAACCCACCACCGCCCGACTCATGCATGCTAGCCTTTAGCGAGGGCATAGTAATGCCATTCCTATCCTCCGACCAACCTGTAGAAGGACGCTTCAAGCTAGTAGCAAAGCACGCAAACCGCGAGTTAAGAGTCTACCAGAAACGTCTAAAAGGAAAAGGAAAGACGGGTACAGCAGGTATACTAGACAAAGGCTCACCAGGCCGCCTCCTCGCAACAGGCTACGTCGCGCAGATCGAACGTGTGGAAGCGAAACTCCCACCGTGGCGTCGCTCACCTTCTTTCCAAAATCCACAAGGCTCTCTAGCACCTAGCACAGCAGGGTTCGGCGCTACATGCGGCGTCTCTTCCATCGGCCCTCTAGCTGCGTTCTTCAAGCGCGGGACGTACGATGTGAAGGATCTGGGGGACAAGGACTTTGCTGCGGACTTCCGCGACGTGAAGATTGGAGTTAGAGCGAGGGAGGACGAGTTTCTGGTTGGCAGCTCGACTAGTGCGGAGGGGATTGTGGGGTTCGGCGTTAGCTATGATCTCAACTCTATTAGTGCTGAGGCGGCGGAGGTGTGGAGAGAGACTATCGAGGGGCTGTTGGAGGGGAGGGAGGTGGCGAGGTTATAGATAATGGATAAGGAGGTGAATGCGAAGGAGCTTGGTTTCTTCTTGTGTTATTCGACAGTGTAGCGGCAGACTCGGCGAGAAGGTAGCGAATATTGCATATGTAGAAGCGCCATCATACGCGGTCTGTATGTATATGTTGACTACCTCGCATAACTTGTGAAAGCAAAGATGGCGCATGTTACACCGCGCCGACTCCTCGTTCGCTGCCGTATTTGGTACTGAAACCACTAACACGGTGGGCAGCTCTTGTCCAATTTCTGTCACTCTTGCATATACCACGTCTGTGTATCAACGTAGAAGGACGTCTTCACGCAATCATACCAGATTTCCTCTTTCCACTCTTTTCGCCAATCTGCGATGGTCCAGTCTTTCCTCTTCAAGTACATGAGATCCGGATCCCATAACTCGCCTACAGGGCCCGTAAATTGTATATTCGACGTGCCAGCCATTATATCGCGAACGGCATTCGGAAGCCCTACTGGCAGATGCCACGGCAATGGAAAAGTACAATGTTTCTGAGGGTCGTGGAGCCATGACGTAGGCTGCACGCCGCTGCGTTGGGCTTGAGCGAGCATGGCTTCCTGCATGGCTGCTGCACGCTTGAGGATCTCAAACGCGTGGACTGTTTCTTGCGTACTACCATCGATGACGAGTTGGTAGGCATCAATTGGCATTCCATATGAAGCCAACGAGAGGGTGTTTTCAATCCATGGGACAATTACGTCCACGCAAGTGCGCCCTAGTATGTCTGGGTCGTCAATACCCGGTTCTGATACCAGAGGGAGCAGATTGTCTAGAAGGCCGATGCGATGTTCGATACGTAAAGCCGAATTACTCTTGCAGAAGTCTATGAGTCCACGCGCATGACATGCAGGACGAAGCCTAGACACACGATCCTCGTTTAAGACGATCTTGCGGAGGTTCAGCCATTGCTTCGGCGGGATACCATGTACTATAAGGTGTGTTAGTATACTAAAATATCCAATAGTGCCTTGGTATGATAACGGCACTGCGATCGGGCCTAATGAGTTCAAAGGAAGCTTGCAACAAGAAGAAAAAAGGTCGACTTACGGTAGTCGATAGCTATAGCAGCGGCAGAGAAGTAGCATCTACTATTGCTCAGAGAAAGATGATATAGCTCCTCATGCACAGCACGTGGTGCTTGAGGATCTTTCTGCCTACAGAGAAGGCGCTCAATGCGGGACAGATCTTCATCTCGAGGTGTCCACCATGAATCGGGCTTCCACGAGAGCAGGGCGTTCAACGATCCTTCCTTGAAAAGGTTTTCTTGGTTTAGAGCGCACCCGACAGGACATACTCCTTGGTCGAACACTCCACTCGTAAGCTGGGCGAACTTCTCTGGATTGCGGTTGTTCGCGCGATTTAATGCCAACAGCAGGGCATCGATGCATGCTTGATTGGCAACGTCGTTTTTCCATATCATTCTCATCAAAGGCGCCCACACATCACGTCGCCGAGTGACTGCATATGGTAATATGTCGCCCACAAATGTACCCATGTTTGGATAGCGCGCCTCGATATCGATAAAGTCAGAGTCTTGCAGCAACTCAGCCACGCAGACTAACATGCGTTGTCGCTGAGTTTGAACCAAGTCTGTCACTGGAGAGTAGCGCGGCATTAGCGAGACCTCTGGATAATGATATAATGCAAGACTTACGGCAATGAAGGCGAGCGACCTTTGAGCGCAATCCCATGAACTCCGGAATGTCGTACATAGAGCATCGTGTACTAAATTTGGCTTTCTGGAAAGCGACTTGTTTCAGTTCTGCCGCTGCGATTTTACAAGCCACTACTAGACCGAGGTTCTCTGCGCGCGCAGCTGCATACCGGTAGCGCAACCTATTCGTATCCTTGTTGTACTCGTACGATCGCCTGCCCTCCGCATAGTATTCGTAGATGATATCGCGAAGTTCTCGAGGTAGGCGGAATAGCGGAGATTGTAACTGCGTGGAGTAGGTGTTCTCTGCCGCGGGCGCAGACGTCGATGGATCTTCACCCCAGTGGGTAGAGTTGCTCGTCGACATATCTGAGGACGCAGATAGCATACAGCATATGCGTGATAACTGCAGTAGTGCGATTTCAAGGAAGCTTATACAGCGTAATATGACTCTTTCTTTCCTTGGATTTTGTGAATGCTTACACTCGACATACTCACTAGCGGTTCGCGCTGGCTGGAAGGACCAGAAATGCAGTAGTAGTGACTCACCTCCAGAACTGCGCGTAGCCACCAAATGACCAGCCAGGCTCAACAGATAACATTACAAGCTGAACCAACACAGTCTGTTGCGATGACACAGAGGCGCAATAATGGTGAGTCAGTAGCAGGCGTCCACGGGTGGTAACGTCGAACCGGTCTTCCCGTAAAGCTACGAAGCTTCGACTCATACCTTTCGAACAGTGTGCATCATAGTAACGCAAAAAAGATACACCTTTGCGACCAGTGAGGCATGTTCTCTGGCTTCGTAGATGAATGTCAGAGGCCTGGGCGCCATCAGCTCAGGGATATTGACTTTGGTTAGCGTAGGTATGCCAGGATTGATGACGTAATGCGCAACTAACAAGGGTTGTCGCGAAAGTCATTTGCACCATGATGTAGTACAGATTCATCCTCATATCTATCGCATATTCAAAAGTCTACTTGAATCTCATTCGATTCAACGAGCCACGTACCAAGTTATGTGTCTCTTGACTACATCGTTACTCGGCCCTAGTTCCTCAGGCATTACTGGTCCACGGTACCTAGTTAGCACAAATACTCGATGTCTAACTTCCCAATGCAGTTTCCCCTACCTCCCGAGGCCCTCTACTCTGTCTTTCGCGTTCGATCGTGAGGGTCTTTTCGCCCGAAGACCTCTCAGCTGTTTCTAAGGAAACGCCTCACTCTTAGAAATAACAACGCCTGGCAAATGCATATTCATCCGCCGGATCAGATTCTCGTTCCACTGACCACGGCTGTCCCGTATCTCAATTATCTCCAAGCCCCTTAAAGAGGCGAGCTCGCCCTCTAGCCCCATGACCATACTCCCCACAGCTGTCCTAAGTTGCATCCTCTTGATAGCCTGTAGTTGCTTCTGGCCGGTATGATGAAGTAGCTTCCATGTATTGGAACATGCTATCCAACCCGTCATAGCAAAGACGTTGAGAGTGTAAGGCAGCATAGCGGTCTCTGTGTTTATCTGCGAGCAGCTTCCAAGGAGAGCGAGAAGATGTCGCTTGGGGCCGGCTCGGTCCCTCATCGCTGTTCCTATCATCTCTATCGGATGATTCATACGTAACACATACTCGTAGATGATGTTACGAAGCTCAGGTGGAAGACGGAGGAGAGGGGAGTTTGCCTGGTTCTCTTGGGTTCTGTCAGACTGTAAGTAAGTTGTAGCGGATGTGCGAACTCTTGAACTCACCGACGTATGCGCTCAGCATGCGAAGTACTCAGGCGGTTTATGTCCTGAAGTTCTCCTGAATCCCCCATGAAAACTCCGTTGATTTGATTTGGTTGGTTGAGTCTATTGGATGTATTGATTGCCGACCAAGGTATGGTAAGGTGTTCTCGATGAAGGTCGAAGGCAGAAGACTGGCAGATTAATAGGTAAATGAAGGAGCTGGACTAGATGTGCACGGGCTTATGACATTTACAAGCAATGTACGATCGCATGAAATGACCTGACATCATAGTCTACCTAGGTATTGAAATGTGCGAGGCAAGCGCACCTCACCGAACGCAACCAAAGCGATTGACCTGTCTCCCTAACCAGTGCTATGACCACTGCAGAGGTTCCAATGCGTATGGCGACACAAATATAACCTCGATATCACCTGCCTGGCCTTTTGCAACTGCAGCTTCCGCTTCTTTCACACGAGCAAACTCCTTCTTGGTGCTCCATAGACCCCTAAGCTCTCCCATATACAGTTTCTTCAACCCCTTGCATCTACCCAGGCTCCTAAGCACCATCTTCAGAGCCTCGCTTCCACTCTGAAACGCGCCCCAACTTATATCAACCATAATCATCGTCATGGCTTCGAGCTGAGCATGTTTGCGCGAAGCGACAAAGCGATCGAGTTCAAAGACGTTGTTAAAGGAAAACAAGTTCTCGGAGTATACTAGAGTAGCTGTTTCGGAGTAAATTTGACGACAGACGCGCGGTAGGGCGATGTTGGCAGGTGTTGACCGGAAGACGTCGTTATCGCTGTTGAGGTGGCGCCATTCGCGGGTGCCTCCGTGCCTAAACATTGGTGTATGAAGTCAGTGAATGTCTCACATCGTACAGTAATATCTCTTACCCACGGTGTATATACCGGCCGCCTCCCAAAGCATACCTGAAGATCTTGTTTCGAAGTTCGGCGGGAAGACGGAGAAGGGGAGAGTGTTGCGTGTTGGACTTGACGCTTTGGATGATATCAGCTGTATATAGATCTTCCGCTTCTGAATAACTCACATGGGGACGAGGTCTTTGGGTGTCTTCCGCAAGGAGACGAGACCGCCGCGAGTACGATAGACGCGCTTGGAAGACTCCGTGATCGGTTTGGCAGGACGCTTGCGCATGTTGTAGCGCGCTTCAGGGACGGATAAAGTGGCCTCCGCAGGGAGCGTAGAATTATCCATGGTGGTGGCAGTTCCAAGTAGAGACACAGAATGGATATATCGAGGTCAAGTCAAAAGGGGCCGAGCTGAAGTACCAAGGGGGGCTTCTTGAGTACGTCAGCTGATGTCTCTAATAGAGTGGACCATTCATCGTGCAGTAAGGCAGCCATAGCTGCAGAAGCATGTGTCAGTGCATAGGAGTGAATAATCGTCGCACTTGACACTGTCTGTGCTCGTTCACGCGCCTAGTCGCTTCAATTCTTGTTCAAAGATTGAATTCTTTCCTACCACACTTTCTCCACTACCTGAAACAATTCCCTGAACATACACCGAGCCGTTCGGTCACAAACCCAACTAAAGTAACTCCAATCGAACGATAAGTACCGCAGGCGCAAGACTACTCATGGTTTCTCAAACCCACAAGAAGTGTGATCAAGCAAGCGCCTCAAGTAAGAAGACGCCAGTCGAAGAGCAAAAAAAGGATGGCTTATTGGATCTTTCACAAACGCCAGACCATCTTGTGACGATGTAAGTAAAGACCTCAACGATCCTCATGTCTCTCTAACAGTACTTAGTGCCCAAGACAACAGTGTGAACTCTCCTCTCCTGCGACTACCAGCCGAACTCCGCACAAAGATATGGCACTACGCCCTTGGCGGAATAATTGTGTATCCCAATCTCAAACGATTGAGATATCGCAAATACGGCTCTACATCGACAGGTCTCTTCAAAAGCAATCTAGGGCAGCTCAGCCTCCCTCGCACCTGCCGACAAATCTACTCGGAGGCCGCTCTAGTATTCTACCACGAGAATACTTTTGCTTTCCACGATTACAAAGCCTTCAAGCGTTTTCGAGATCGCATCCGAAATGCCCACTTCGCGATGATACGATCCATTTCCGTGAGGACCATTGGCGCTCTTCTGACGTTTCAAAAAGAACTCATGGAGGCTGACAGGTCTCAAGCCTCCTATCGATACTCCAACAATCTTAAGGAAGAGTTTCTAAACTACTACGATCATATGGAACAGGATCTGCGATGGATCATACGACTGGTAATTCCGGATCTACTGTCAACATTTCCCAATTTACATAAAATCGTGATTGCATGTTCTTGTCATGCGAATGGGATTCAGGGAAAATGCAGTTTTGATACTCGAGTTTCGTGGCCGCCGTTTCATACAGAGGGAGTCGAAGTTGCGTTTCGTGAGTAGGGGCGACTCGGTACAGATTGTGGGGGCAGGACTCGATGGCTTCATGCGGAAACAACAAAGAGATCACTGTACACGCTTGGGTGATGAAGAAAATCGAGAGCGAAACGATTGGGGAAGATATGGCGGCTCAAGACTAGCTCAAAGAGCTCTCCCTCCAATACACACACTCTTCACTTGGCTCCTCATTTTACCCCACTCGTGTACGCAACGCATTAGGCCTGAGTTTTGCTGTCTCTTCACTTTGTCCAGGGAAGACCCAGCTTCTTCATCTCCACCGCTAACTGCAGGATATAATCGATACTCTCGCACTGCGTCTTCGCCTTGTGTACGTTATCACCCCACACGTAAATGCCATGTCTCTTCACAAGAATCGCGTACGAATCGGGGTATTTCTCCATCGCCTCCTCCAAACTCTCCCTCAAATCCTCTTCGTGCGCGGTGTTTTCGATGATGGGTATACGCAGACGGTCATAGTAGCCTAGGTTACCCTGCTTCCCTCTTCCCTTCGGTATGCCCTTAATCTGTTCAATCTCTTCGATCTCAAAGCACGCGTCTTTTCCGAAATCGCGCTCGACGAGGAGGGTTACGAGGACGGCCCATTGCGAGTGTGTGTGGATGCAGCAGCCGGCGCCGCGTTCGAAGGCTGCGAGGAAGAGAGGCGTGCACGCTGAGGGTTTAAGGACCTAAATGCTTCTTAGCCATCTTCCCATAGTCTAACATCGCGCGATATACCTGTGGTCTCCTCAAGTACTCCTTGCTGTTGAAGTCCATAACAAACATGTCGGTAGGCTTCATGAGCTCTTTCTGTACGCCGCTGGGCGCAATGTATATCTTGTCTTCATGGCGTATGCTCGTTCCTCCGCCAGTGCCTGTCACCTGGCGGAATCTTCGTGTTAGCCATCACTCGATCGTGTCTTCATTCGCGTCCCCCTGACGCCTGGAGATCATCGTACCCAGCCCAAGCTATAAAACTTTGCGCAGAGCGTGCAGATGTGGTTCGCGGGGTGACTTGGGTCATCGGAGTGCACGAGGGCCTCGGCATCATGTTCGCTGGAACTCATTGTGATGTTGCGCAAAGGTGTTGTCGAAGGGTGAAGTTTGGTGGATTTTCTGGAGCCCAATGACGCGACTTGCGATCGCGACTACCCCACGTGGTCCGCGCTAGTGTGCATCCCACCATAGTCAGGCACAACGCAGACATCAATCTAGGTAGGTCATACAAAACTCAAGGACATGGTTGAAAGAGTGTCTGTGCCTATTAATTGCCAAACAGAAAACAAGGCTGTCTCATATTGAGAGACGATAGCCTGAGGTATCATCGATGTCCAACGCTCATACCACTACCAGTCCTCCAGGAAAGTCGCTTGACTTGGGTATCATATCTAGTTTGTGGTCGTGTTCTGCGCCAAAGGAGAAGGCTCATGTTCCTTCTTCTTATCCAAATGAAGTACTTCCTTGACCTTGTCGCCCAGTCCCTTGCGATCGGGAGATTGGCTGTGGCCGCCGTGCTTCTCCTTGTATACGTTTCCGGCTCCACCTCGCTACAGTAATGTCAGTCGAGTTTGATGTTACTCATATAACATGACGTACGCCGGTGTGGAACTCGTCTTGCGCGTTGCGCTGATTGATCTCAGGAACCATGTCTATTGAGCGACGACCTTCGTCAGACTGCGGCCCAACGCGAGGTGACTTTCCAATGTTGCCAGCTCCCCCACGGCCAGTGGAGAAATCTCCATCGAGAGATTCGCCTTGAACGCCCTCGCGAACCATGCCTCCATCAGTGTAGACGTTGGTGTCGGGGCCAATGTTGCCGGCGCCTACGTCAGCGATCAGCTTTTCCTGTTGTTGCATATTGTAGTATCATGCATGGCATACCTCCACGGCCAGTTGAGTGAATTGGGGTAGTAGTCATTCTGATGGTTTAGCTTGCGCAATGATTGTGAAAACAAATGTTGTCTTGTTGAGATGACAAAGAATTGGTGTCAAGGATGTAGGATATGCTAGGGTGGTCGAACGGCAGGGCGAAGCGCGTTTTCAGGCTCTTATATTTGCTCCTCCAGTCCTACAAGCAGGCCATCTCAGAGTGACGCAATGACGCAATCGCATCTCCAGGTGCTCTAATCGATTGGCGACGCGGGATGGAAGTAGTTTCCGAGTTGAAAACAGGCGCCAACAGGCTCATGGCTGCTAGTCGTCCAACTAAGACGTCGAGCCAAGGAAAGATGCGAGCATGAGGCACAAATTTCGATGGTTTTGACTCTTCTCACCGTCCCGTGGGTGTGGTTTATGCGATGGCGTGAGGTGATCTTCAATGTTCGCGCGATAAGGCCGGGTGGATTGATTCGCCCAGCGACTGACTAAGCGGGCTGTATCCCACTGCTCGACCTAGTGATTGCATTCTCACATGTCATCGCCGACATGGACACGGCTTGCTCGGAGGTCGGTGGAAGCTTTGGCGAGAGATGCGCTGCACGAGGATTGCTGGGATCTGTAGTCTTGGAGCTCTTGCCACCCCTAACGCAGGGGCAGGCGACGTGTGGTTCATCAGACTACGTCGGTACACAGATCTAGCATAGAACACACAGAAACCGCCTTTTGGCTTGTTACCCTGCACCTAAAGTTTTGATGTCCCAATCTCACATAATCGGATGATGGTTTTGATTTGGGCATGCCTTTTGGGCGAATATTGAATTACGATTATGCGGTACGAAGCGCTCTAATAATGTTGTTTATACAAAGATTGAGAATCAATAAAGGGGTATCATCATATCGAGCATCTGATACTTCAAGATCTAAGGCCTTGCTCATCACTCGGCCTGGCTTGACCTTCCTCCGCGTTTCTAGCTTGCACCTTGTCTTGGTCTGCATGCTTGGCCGGATCGAAGACATAGATTGGGAACTCGAGGAAGATGGTTCTCTTTAGAATGACGGGCAGCTTGGCGTATAGCTGTGGCGGGAAAGGGATGAGAATGCTCGTTCGGTGGAGGTATTGCTCGTACTCGGGCCATCGGTTGCCTTTCTCGTATCTCTTCTTTGCGCCAGGTCGTTCCTGCAGCGTAAGACCGGATACGAACATGAGTAGCAGAGTCAGGAAGAATGGACCGAGAATGGACGCGTACAGGGCGTCATATGCACCGCCCGAGACGTAGTTGTTTGCAGCCGGGGATACAGCGATCGTGAAGATACCTGTCATAATCAGTTTCGGTCCAAAGAAGTTCAATGAGCAACACCTACCGAATTGGATGAGCATCTCGCCGAAGTAATTCGGGTGGCGCGTCCAAGCAAAGAACCCGACGTTGCAGACTGCGCCGTCGCTACCGTGAGCAGTACGGAACCTGTACTTCTGAACGTCGGAAACACTTTCCATGATGAAACCGATTGACCACAGGATGATGCCAGCGATATCACAACCTGTTCCAAAGTCTGGCTGATTGAATCGAGTGACTTTTGGCGAGTTCAGAATAGTGACCGGCATAGATACAGTCCAGACCCAGAACATTTGACTGTAACCCATCAGTAATGACACCCAGCTTACGTCTGTAGTTACTCACAACACCCAGAATCCGAGGAACGACCAGAACTTGTCCCTCTTATCGTCGAAACGATCATCTTTGCCAGTCTTGAGAATCCTGAAAAGAAGAAAGCCGCTCAACCTTGCCGCCCACAGCATGATAAACAGCGATACCACAATGTTGCGCGCATCGCCGCGGTTCTCGCTGCACGAAAGCGTGATAATCGCAAGAAGGATGAAGTTGGTGCCGCCGGCAAAATCAGTAAGTTTGTCGAATTTGAACGAGAAGGCGATCGCAAAGCCGATCAGCTGGTATGCAACAGTGACGAGGAAGGTGATGGCAAGATAATAGTCATCGAGGACGTGTATGGCGGCCATGATGACCTCTGGACGATCTGTTGTTGTGTGCGCGAACCTTGACAGCAGAGTTGCGCCTACATATACAGAAGCCTAGAGCTTACAGCTACGTCGCTACGTACGGAAGCCGAACGTTCCACGCTGCGCTGGCAAAATTTGGCCGACTCCGACGAGCGAGAATCGTATTCTTTGCGATGTAAGTTGGCCCCAGGGGCTGGCAAGCGTCAGGCCCAGGGTAATGACGCACGTCATCGGTCGCCAAGCCACGATTACTAGGCACGACTTTCTCCCGCGATCACCAGCCCTACGCACATGCTTCACAGCACAACGCGACTTCGCAGCTTCGCGATTGATAAGCCTTTTCTATCGCACGGCACTTGGGCGGAAATAGATCGGTAATGGAAGATCGATTTCGTTCATGCACGAGCGGAAGGAAGAAAACGCCATGTTCCACAGAGTGAAACGCCTCCGGTGTGAACCCCATCGCCTCGCGCACATCGCGTGTCAGACTACACCACCATAGCGGCTGGCCAGACGATCGTGAAGCTTGACTGCCACCAAAATCGCTTTTCGCGGGCCTGTCGATCATGGATCGCGCGTTACTGGCCTGGAACAAACCTTGATGACTAGGCTGACCCGACAATGCCATCACCGGCTGCACTACTGCGCGCTGGGACTCCATTTGAGGAACACCGTTCCGACCCTTGAGACGCACCTGAACACTGTTCGAGTAGCCGCGAAGGCTCGAAACCAGCACCACACGGTTAGAAACATGCTGAGCGGGGCTGACATGTCGGACCCGTTAAGTAGGATAGTTTTCGCCTCAGTCATGAACCTTTGAACGGTTTGGCACGCTCTCGCACTATCGGAAGCTTACATTCGTCTGCATCCGGACTATCTGTTTCCATTGTGTGTCCACACGTTTCCGTTCCATCTTCAACTCTTCGGTCTTTCTGCTGTGCAGGTACTGAGAGGTTCTGCATGTCTGTGACATCGCCTTCGATTCTACTCCAGCTGGACTGTTGATGTACTAATTACTAATTCTCTTTTCTATTGTTTCCGGTTCTCACTTCATCAAGGATTCCACAATGACTAGAACTCGATCGTTCTGGGTACCAGCCCTGCTGCTCATGAGTGCAGTACGTATGCCATTTGCTTGTAGGGACTCTTCACTGACTGCGTTTAGAAGGTCACTCAGGCAGTACTTGATCTTCACAACACTCACATACGAACCGAAGTCTCGGGCAGACGTATCGACAACTTGGTATCGGGACTCGACTGGCAACGGCGGGATACAGAAGCACTCAACGTACCTGCTGCCGAGCAAGCCAGTACACTGGACAATGGAAACATCGCCGCCAGGCTTGCACAGAACGGCCTGGACGCAAACGCCTTGTTGAATGGGCTCGCGCAAGGCCAAGGACAAGGCCAAAGGAGTGGCAACGGAGACATCAACACGAATGATGTCGGTGGAGACCTCGCAAACCAGATCGCCGGTGGGGGCTCCACGAGCGTTGACGACATCCTCATTGGGCTTAATGGGCAAAAGCAGAGTCCATCAACAAACCAGACTAGCAACCCGCAGCCGCAGGGCCAGAGTGGTGCGCAAGGAACGTCACAGGGTGCCAACCAAGAACCAGCAGGTGACATCAAGTCGAGCGACATTGCTGGAGATCTTGCAAACCAGCTGGCCCCCAAACCCGGTTCAAGTCAGAGTGGCAGCGCCGATATTGCTGGGGATCTAGCGAATCAACTCGCACCAAATGGACAAGGCCAACTACCATCCCAGTCTGGAGCATCACAAAATGGTAGTAACTTTCAAACTATTCAAATAGTTCAGACTATCGTCACTCAACCCAATGGCCAGGAGATCGCAGCAACGCTTGTCGAAGCACCGCCGCAGGGAGCGGCC